AGGTTGACATACCATGACATCCTTTTACTTTTGCTCTATGGTTTCTCCGTTCTCAGTGAGATGGCCTGGATGAAATGAATAGGAGAAAGCCCAGAAGCTGGACGTACTATATCCATTATTTTAATTATGGAAAGTCTTACTTGCATTAAACTCAATGTGTAATTGTGTTAGTCTCAACTTTCTGAGTGGCTATGTGCGTTGTATTGACTGCCTTGTTGCCTATCTGTAGAAGGCTTCACTTTTGATGTTTGTCTGCATCACCATCGATTCAAGAAAAATAACTTAAGTACTATAATTTGGGGATCATTGAGAGATTTCTTGACATGACACTCTTCGTGCCTATCTAAAAGTTTACTGTACACATTTTCATTAGAAAGCCCTCATTAATAATTGATCCTATACATATAATATAATGTTGAGCACTTTTCTGCAGTTCTTAGACTCACTGTTCATGTTCCAAGTTCATGGCTCTCTTCTGTGTTTAAAAAGCACCATAACATTTGCTATTCTCCTATCCTGAGGTATTAAATCCAGTGCTTTTTGAGCTGGTTGTTAAAAATATTAACCAGGGCAGTCCCCATAGTGTGGTGGATACAGCTGTAGCTTAGGGAGTTTGCTGGTTTAAATCCTGGTCTGTGCTGAATTTGCTTATCTAACCATGACTACATGGGTGGGGGGTGAGGAAGCTATTTGGCCCAGTCTTTCCAGGGTTGGGATGGCTAAAATCAGCCAGGATTTCTCCTCCTCTTCCCGCTTCAGCTATCCTCTACCGCCATATTAAAATTCACTTTGGTTTGATACTTGATGGTATTAACATTGCTGATTATATTATGTGTACAATGGCTAGTTTGGCGACTCACTGTGAGTTTTTAAAGAGATTTTGGGCGGAATACCACATGACCCCTTCATGCATTATATAAGAATGCCTACAAGGCAGCTTTTTGTTTTAGTTCGTTTTCTGCTGTGTTTATGAGAAGCTTTTCTTTGCTGTTGTTTGGCCTCATAGCCTGGAGAACACAAAAAATTGTAATTCTTCCAAAAATACTGTGTACTAGTTTTTAAGCCCTATACTTACTGCGAGTGATTGTACTGTATCTAGCCATGCTCGCTGTTTCTGTGCCTGCCCTTGATCATTTTTAGTCACTGAAACATCAGTTGTAACCACATTTTCTGTTATCTCTGCAGATAAATAGCTGATAAGAAGTATAATGACCACAACAACAATTTGCACATATATACTTGCTTTCTCAAGGCGTTTTTCAAATGTTTGAGTGGAAGCCCAAGCTAGGAGATGGGAGGGTGAGTGGGTGGGGGGGTTGAAAGTGCAGGGAGATGGATGGGTCTTAAGACAGGTTTTGAAAGCAGAGAGCGTGAGGGCAAGTCTGAAGAATTTTGGAAGCGATTTCTAGAGGGCGAGACTTCTGCCCTCCACTGTGCACCGTCCCCCCCACCCCGACCTGATGGTTGGCTAGGAGTCAAGCCAAAAGTGAGCTAGAACTCACTGATTGGAATAGCTGGGGCAATGGGGTTGCAGGAGATCACAGAGATAGGGTGAAGCAAGGTTGTGAAGGCATTTGAAGATGAGGATAAGAATTTTAAAGTTTATTTGATGGAGAAGAGCATGCTGTTGTAGTCAGGTGAGGATGGAGCTCAGTATGGGAAAGGATGCAGAGTTCTAAACACTCCAACATAATGCTACATTGTCGGAGGTGTTTAACGGAGATGTTAAACCAAGGTCCTCTGTGGAGTAGTATGATTGGTTCATTGGCAGGACTTGGAAGGGCAGATCAGTCACTGAGAGCAGGGACTCTTTCCACTCAGCAAACATTAATAATAATAATAATAATAATAATAATCCTTGCATTTGATATAGCGCTTTTCACGTCAGGAGGACGTCCCAAAGCGCTTCACAGAACACACTAAAGTGAATTGACTGTATATTTGTGGGCGAACGCGGCAGCCAATTGCGCACAGCAATGTCCCACAAACAGTCGTAGATTGAAAATGACCAATTTAATTATTGTTTTTGGTTTTGGAGGGATTATTATTAGGCGTGTGGAGTAAGGAAACTTGCCCAAGGTTTCGCCCTGCAAACCAAAGCCCTAATGGGTAAGATAGTCCTAGCTGGACAAGCAGTGGGAAAGCTTGCCAGACAGCAATATTAATGGCAAACTATGCGGTTTTAGCTGATTAGACTCCAGCAGTAACCCAACACACACTCTCGGGTCCCCAAGATTTGGCTCTTGCCAACCTGCGCCTATTACTTTCCGGAATTAGGTAAGTAGGACATTTCCCTCCAGGGAAGAGTGTGCGTTCCATCCAGCAATCTATCCCTGGAATCTCCCATGTGTGTGGATTGTATGGAATTCTCAGTTTGGTTTAGATACTCTTGAGCGTGGTGATGGGTTTCCGCATGTGTCAGTCATGCGACTGACAAATATAAAATTGAGTTTGAACAGTTTTGAAGACAATATATCTTCAGCTGCCTTCCAGACGTCCTGGAGCCCTCACTGTTGACTGCTAGTTATTTTTTACACAGACGCACATAGTGGATTGACAGCTTTTTGATTTAAAAAATTATTACAAAAGGATTATTGTATTTTTTATATAATGCTTGAGGATCCAAATACCTTTTCATTTTATCTTACCAGGTGTGACCTCTGCACCCTTTGAGGAATCTCTCCAGTTGAGTTCCCTAAATCCTTCTGCTCCTGGATTCTCAAGGACACCTTGAGGTTATGATTCAAGCTCATTTATTGGCTGCATTGCTTTAATCACCATTAGATGGTACCTGTCTGCTTCGAACAATTCATTACGAAGGTCTTTAAAATTTCACTACAAAAATCAATTTTCCAGAGGGTGAGGGTTGCCCAATTATCCTGACATTTGTACTTCACCTTGCCTTCAGAGGCAGAGCCCAATCTAAAGAGCAAGGGTGAATGGTGTGAACTGGCAAATCAAGGTCCTAAAATGAACCTGACTTTCCTAAACTTGAATATCATTTAATTTTGTTCATAATTATTTTTACAATTGTTTGAGTAATCTGTTTTAGCCACATATATCTAATAGGCAATTTTATGTTGTAGCTGTGAGAAAGAGGAATGGAGAAGAGGAGGTTAAAAAGTAGTAGCTTACAAGTAATTTAAGAAAAACAGAAGCATTAAGATAATAGAGTTAAAGGACAAACTGAATAAGAAGGAACCTCTAAGATATGGAATATGAAGTGGTTGAAAACTAGAGAAAAGTTATGAGGAAAGATTTCGGAGAGGACAATATAAAAAAAATTGCCTAGACAACAACAACAACAACATTACATTTGTAGAGCGCCTTTCAAGTCGTGAAAATGTCCCAAAGCGCTGCACAGTACAAAAGCAAAATCTTTCTTTAGTTTGGCGCCAGTAATTTCAGTACATACTATCCTGAACCAATGACTCAGAAAAATAGCGTTTCAATTGCACAGGAATGGTAATTTGTTTTTACATTGCAATATTAAAAATTTATTTCAGTACCCTTCAGTAATTATTTGCTTATTTGTGTCATCTGCCAGCTAATTTGGTAATGATGTTGCCAAACATTACAATCTATTTGTAAAAGAACATCTATTTGTAAAAATCCTTGCATTTGATATAGCGCCTTATCACGAGACGTCTTAAAGAGCTTCACAGAATATACTGTAAAGTGAATTGATTATATTTTGTGGGCAAAACGCAGCAGCCAATTGCGCACAGCAGTGACCCACAAACAGTTGTGGTTTGAGTGACCAATTTATTTTTTATATTTTTTTTGAAGGAATTATTACCCCCAGAAAAGCAGTTAGTAACCGGGTTCCTTCTTACTGCTAGGTAAACAGGCTTGTTGCAAAAGGAAATCGAACTCAGGTCTCTCACTTGCGAGGTGAGTGCTCTAACCACTGAGCTACAGGACTCCATGTGTAGAAAGTGGATATTTTAGAGTAAAATGCAGATTGTCTTAGAGTTAGTATGGTGTACCTGCAAAATTTCACTCAGTCCACCCACCATTCAGTACAAAGTTGGTGAGCTTTGTATACTACATGTATTTATAATATATATAATAATCCTTGCATTTGATATAGCGCTTTTCATGTCTTCCAGACGTCCCAAAGCGCTTCACAGAATAAACTGTAAAGTGAATTGACTGTATATTTGTGGGCGAAATGCGGCAGCCAATTGCGCACAACAGTGTCCCACAAACAGTCGTGGATTGAAATGACCAATTTATTATTGTTTTGTTTTTTGAGGGATTATTATCAGGTGTGTGGAGTAAGGAAACTTGCCCAAGGTTTCGCCCTGCCGGGAATTGAACCCAGGTCTCTCGCTTGCAAAGCGAGTGCTCTAACCACTGAGCTACAGGACTCAATTTTCATTGCTCAGTTGTTGCTTTTCTATATATCATATTTGTCTTTGAAAATGGAGATCATTTTACTTCAGAAAATTAAATTGTTTGATATTCTGAGTGAGTAACTCTTCTGGCTTGTAGAAACCCTAGATATTGCCTTCGAATATATATTTGATGGTCAGGTGCGTGTCTGACTCATGTAGAAACCAAGCACTATGCCTAAAAATATCCAAAACAGACAGAATTCCGCATTTAGATGTCAGTGACACATGGACATTTCCCTATGTCTGGAATGGAATAAGTACCCTTTCCTTGGAGGCATACTTACTTAAATAGGGTATTAAGCACAGGATGATGAGTGCCAAGGCTTGGAGACCCTAAAGTACTGTTACAATTTAACCAGCTAAAACTGTACAGCTTTCCTGGAAAAGAGGTGGGGTGGTGGAAATATCATTGTGGTACATTATAACTGCGCCTCCCAAAACAATCTATTAAATTTGCTACCATCAATTTTTTGTAGATTAATTATGCCCTGTTCATTGTGTAATATTTATATATGATTAAAATACCTTTATTGAATATTTTCTTACCGTTACTTTCAGAGAGTAGATGCCGAGATCTGTAAACACAGATCTGCTTCACAGCTAATACCGAGCAACAACATGAAATTCCTTGAGCTAGAACTTCAAGAATGGATTTAAGCAAAGTATCTCAAAGTGCTGAATGTGACTTAATTCAGTTGCCAGCCCATAGAGAACAAAGTGAGAAAGCTCAAGTTACTCTTGCAATCCCAGGATTGCCAGAAGATGAGCAGATGGACAAAACCAATAAGATCACCCACTCCAAACGAAAAAGAAGATCTGAACCAGGAAAGGGAAAGACTAAGGACCTAAATGTAAGTGGCACCTTAGAAATAAAGGCTCGATCGGACAATGCAATTGAAAGTGCTCTAGATTGTGGGAAACAGCAATGTAATGAAGATCCTCCAGCTAAAAGACAGAAATGTGAGACTTTGCAGTCAGAATCTCAAGATGGTGGAAACTGTGCAGAAACTGGAATTTCTGCTTTACCAGGGGATAAAGAACAGCAACAAGAAGAGGTGACATGTGTGGAGAGTGATGATGCACAGATGGAAGGACAAACTGGAGATGATATGAATACGCCTAAGAGTATTGTTGAAGATGGGACAACTCACCTTTGCCCCACTTGTAATTTCATGGCTAAAACGAAGACTGCATTAAAAATTCACACAAAGCGACGTCATTTCAGTGAAAATGTCTTTATTTGTGATAATTGCAACTATACGAGCCACTCAAAGTATGACTATAGCAAGCATATTTCTTCAGTTCTTCATAAAAGCCAAATTATAAGTGAAAGTAAAATTGGAAGTACAAAAGAAGGGTTTAATTGTAGGCTCTGTGGTCATTTAACCCCTTCTCGTTATGACTTGGATAAGCACATTAAAGAGAATCATTCAAGGCGCTCTAAAGCCCACATTTGTCCTCAATGCAAATACAAGGCAGAAAGTGCGGCATCCTTGCATGCACATCTCAAGCACATCCATGTGGAAGAAAGAAAGTATAGTTGTGACCTCTGTGGCTACAAGTGTTTTGATGAAAACCTGCTGAAAACCCACTGTCGTGGTAAAACTCACCTTCGTCGAAAAAATCTTGCAGCTCGGGGAGGATACATACATTTATTATCCCAAAAAAAGCCACCTTGTAAGTTAGATGCAAAAGTGCACAATTCAAAACGGATGAGTAATGATAAACTGAGTTTGGGTGACAAACCTACAAATTTGAGAAGAACAAGGAGCCAAAGCTCTGCCCAGTTTATCAAGGATGTGAAAAATGCCAAATTATTGAAGAAATCTAGGAATACTGGTCGATCAACGGCAATTTCAACCAGCAAGAAGTTACTGGCAGTAAAGGAAGATCCAAAATGTAATGATCACAATGTTGGAAGGCCATCTACGAGAAGAGCTTTAAGAAGAGGAAAGATACAAGGTGATCTATCCCAAGCCCCGGTCAGTGATCCAAGATCAAGGCAGCTGAATAAGGTTAATATTGTCAGCCTAAGAGGGCGTGGCATACCTCTTAAGTGCAGCTTACCTCTCAAGAACAATTCTCAAAGTGTTTGTACAAGAAGTAAGGATAGATTTTCCAAGGAAGAACCAGGGAACCAAAGAGCTCAAAGAAACCTCAAAATAAGAGGTAACTGGTTGACTGCAGATACTGTTGGCCGAAGTAGAGGTGGCCTTTCTGACAGGAAGAAGCTCTTCCTCGAGTTCAGCGAGGTAGAAGCAGAGGCAGGCCTCCTAGAAGAAAGAATACTGGTGCAAAACTAGACAGTATAATTTCCTTCAAAAGAAGAGACCAGCATGAAGCTAAACCCGAGAGTCAAAGCCGTAAAAGTATTGATGAAAAACCATCAACTTCAAATGATGCAAATTTAGAGAATGTAACTGTTTCTGATAAACGTTGCCCAGATGGAAATCAAGAAGGGCAGTTAACACTCATGTCAGATGTTCCTCTTGTGTCACCAGTTGCTGAAAATCCAACTGAATTAACATTGCAGGATGGAAATCTTGAATCACTCTCGGATGTCAATTCGGTTGTTATTAAAACATCCAATGTTGAAAACCCTGAATCAAAACTAAGCCCTGCTGATCGGAAAGCCCTCCGCACCTGCTCCTACTGTGGTCATTTGTTTCAGAACAGAAAGGGCTTGGAGGTACATATCAAGAGACGTCACACAAAAGAAATGGAGTTTCACTGCCAACCTTGTGGCTATGCCTGTGTAACAAAAGGTGACTTTGAAAAACACTGTCAAAGTAACAGACATCAGATTAATTTCTCCAGGATTAACTGTCGAATCTGTTCCTTTGTGACCTCAGATGAAGAGAGTCTTAAGAAACACATGAACCAGGAACACAATATGGCTTTTTACTGTCTATCATGTAAACTGTACTTTGTTTCAGAGGAAGATTTAGTGAACCATGAAGGCACTGAGCAGCATACAAGCCTCATACTATCACAGAGAACAGATGCTGTAGTTCAGCAAGCTGACAAACCACTGCTAGGACCAGAACTTAATAAAGTCCCTTCATCAGATGGAAAGCAAGAAGAACCTACTGAAGCAAAAGAAAGCTCTTTATTAAAAGATCCTCAGAGACTTTCTATAGCAAGAGTAGTTGCGGGAAATATATTAAGGCGTTCAGCACACAGTAGACCACAATTTCAGTGCAAGAACTGCTTTTATAAAGCTAGATCATCCACAGTTCTTATGAGACATATAAAACTTAGACATGCACAAGAATATCACTTTCTTTGTAAAGTCTGTAGTCTCTACACTATTACCAAGGAAGCCATGGAAAAGCATATTAAACGAAGCAGGCATATTGAAAATGCTAAGAAGAAAAACCTTGGGCCATCAGTGGAGGAGTGTGTTGAGGAAGTATCTGTAGGTGTTCGGGATGTTAAGAATAGTATGGAAACTCCTGGGGCTTCAGAAAACGTCAGTACTGAAATAGACAAAGGCTGTGTTCAAGTACTGAAGCCATCGAAATCCAAAGAAGAATTTGTTGTAACGTGGGAAATATCGGAAGGTGACTCAAACAACTCAGACGATCTTCAAAAAGATAGTGATGCTCAGTCGTCAGATAATGTTAAGAGAGGCCGCCCCAAAGGGAATATTTCTAGAACATGTTCTTATTGTGGGTTACTGGCTTCCAGTATTACAAATCTGAACATTCATATAAGGCGGAAGCATAGCCATCAATACAGTTACTTTTGTAAGGCATGCAACTACTACACTGTAACCAAAGGAGATATGGATCGTCACTGCAACACTAAGAAGCACAAAAGTCGAGCTGATGTCACCAAGGCTGCTGAAGTGTGCAGGAAATCTGCTGTAGCTACTGATAAAGGAAATTCAGATGTAGTTGAGACTAGCAATGTTCCTTCTTCTTCGGCTGAATGTGTTGATGACAGCACCAAGGTTTTGGAACCAGAGTCTTCTGATGTTAAGAAACTGACTGAGAACAACGATAATTGCACTGAAGTAAATTTAGTTAGTGTCATTTCAGCAAAGGAACAGCAGAAAATGGAAAATCCAAAAGATATGGTAGATGTTGGTACAGACCACGATACCCCAGCACAAGATGACAGTTCATCACAATCTAAGAAATTCAAAGGAAACCAGGCAACTACCTGTGAGTACTGTGGGTTTGTTGCTTACTCCCTCGCTACTCTGGAGTTGCACGTCAAACGAAAGCACACTAAAGATTTTGACTTCTACTGTATGGCATGTGATTACTATGCTGTCACTCGGCGTGAAATGATGAGACATGCATTCACTGAGAAACATAAGCTTAAAAGTCAGTCCTACCTCAAACTAAATCAGGAAAAGGAACATTATGATGTATGTGAGACGAGCGTAACTGTGACAGATTTGTCACAGAATACAAATCCAAAACAAAGTAGTGATGAATTTCAAGACAAAGGGAGCTGGGATCAGGAGGAGATGGTTTCAGAAGTTACTCAAGATGTACACGAATTTCATACAGAAGAAAAAATATCTGAAGGAGCCAGTGATCCTCAAACACCAACAGTAGGCAGGAGAGAGAATTCTTTACAAAATGAAATGACTAAAGAAGGTGAGACAAATATTGAGACTCGGTTAACAATGCAGAATTCAGAACATTCCTCTGAAGTTGAGGTTGGACTACCAGAAGCTGACAGTGCACATATGCAAATGTCTTTAAACTCATTGAATTCAGCTGAAGAGTTGAATCCTGTATCAGAGAATCTTGTGACACCAGAAGCAGAAAAATTAAATTCTGAGGTTGAGGCACCTGCAGAGAATGATTCTGGTGGGTGTTGTGGAGAACTATTGACGTCACAAAAAAACAGTGTTGAGAATGATCAAACGATTAATGCAGATGCTGAAGAATCCCAGACAGAGAATAATTTTCAACAAGGCTCCCAAGCAGCAGAGGAAAAGCACGATGAGTCTGAACAAAATGTTATCCAACCAGAAGAGATGGCAAAGGGAAGCAGCATCGAGATAGATAGCACTTCAAGAGAGGTAGTCAAGGCAAAAGACGATAGGCCAGATGACAGTGATACGGCAGAACAGAACCACGAAATGCAAACAGAATATTCAGGAGTCTCAAAAGAGAGTAATGCCGAACAAGTCCAAGAAATAATAGTGGAGATTTCAACCCTCTCCAAAGGTGATGGTGCTCAGCAAGAACATCGGAAAACCACAAGCCTGGAGCCATTGAAGAAGAGTTCCAGTCACTTGCAAGATAACCCTGCACAACATGGGGATAGTAACGATGAAGACATCATGGAGACAGCTGAAGCAAAGATATCTGAACCGATTAATAGTGATCAGCAAACTGTTTTTGAAGACAATCAGGCTCTTTTAGATGAACAAAACAAAGCTGAAGCAGGAAACCAGGAAATGGAAAGTAATGCTTTGGAAGTTGCTGAGAGCATGAGTGATGGCCTTGCAAGGTCTGAATTCCAGAGCAAGGGTTTGCAAAAATATTTTGAGTTTGATGCCTCTATCATAAGATTAAAGAACAGTTCGTGGAATGAAAAATCAGATTGTACAGACAATAGTGAAGATAGCCAGGGAAATGAGCCCATCACATCCAATGAGTGGGCAGTTGCCGTGTACAAGACTGATTCTTCACAGACCGTGAAAAAGAAGAGAAACGAAGGAGCTTTGTGTCAGGACTCAAAACGAATACGCTGTGAGGATTGTGGGTTCTTAGCTGACGGTGTAAGTGGGTTAAATGTTCATATTGCCATGAAGCATCCTTCAGAGGAGAAGCATTTTCACTGTTTGTTGTGCGGGAAGTCATTTTACACCGAAAGTAACTTACATCAGCACCTGGCTAGTATAGGCCACCAAAGAATGGAGCAAGAGAGCATAGAAGAGTTACCAGAAGGTGGTGCCACCTTCAAGTGTGTGAAGTGCAACACACCCTTTGATTCTGAACAGGACCTCTTTGTACATATCAAGCAGAAGCATGAAGAAATGCTGAGGGAAGTTAATAAGTACATTGTGGAAGATACAGAGCAAATCAACCGAGAGCGTCAAGAGAATCAAGGCAATGTCTGCAAGCACTGTGGGAAGATCTGCAAGAGCAGCAATTCACTGGCTTTTCTAGCTCACATCCGCACACACACTGGTATGTATTGTACATTCAGGTTACTTACTTGAAGATCTCTTTTGTTTCTCTCTCAGTATAGGTGACTTAAATGAATGTAAAATTAAATATTTCTACCCTGTAAAAAAAACAGATACTCTTCCATTGGGATCAAAGCTGATCCCAGGTGGAAAAGGGGAGGAAAAGCAGTAAACCTAAATGTTATCCAACAACAATTTGCAATTATACAATGTCTTCCATGTAAAAGGAAGTCATGCTGTCAAAGCAGTTGATAAACATTGTGCTGCACATCAAATAAGAAAATAAGAATTAAATACATTGACCAAAGGCACCGTTAAAGGGAATATGTTTTTAGAAATTAATGAGAGAGGGACAGGGGCACAAGGTGAAGTGCTTTTGGAAGAGAGCTCCAGAGGACAAGGCGGTGAAGGTGAAGAAATGGGGGAGCAGTAAATCAGTCAGAAGACCGTATTATATAATGATAAAAGAGGTGAAGTACCTCACAAAGTCCTCTTATCAAAGTCCTGTGTTCACTTCCACATCACAACCTAATGTGACTAAGTGGACATGTTGATAGTCAGTGTGCAGATACATAGCATTCTGGTTTCCTGGTTGCCAATTGAGGTGGGGATAATGGGCAAGTGAAGCCTTATGTAGGAGAGAACGCAAGTTCTGGATCAGTTGAAGTCCTTGGAGAGTGAAATAGGGAGGTTCACAAGGAGAGCGTTGGAAATATTGATCCATTGGCGGAGTATGTTAAGGGCTTAAGAGGACATTATTTTGGCAGTGGAACAAGGTGGTATTGAAGATGAATTAGTTGTAGGATGTGAAACTCAGCTCAAGTAGAACACCAAGTTTCAACATGCCCGATAGAGAAGCAAAGGAGGCTGCTGGAGGAAGGTAGTACAGAGGGGCAGTTTGGCGCACAACTACATATAAAATATTAAACAATATAAATAAACTGATCCCTGTCTTCTTACTTCCCCAGCAAAACAAGGAATTAGGACCAAGTGAAAAATAGTAAAAAGTAAATTTGGAATAGTTATCAGAAAAATAATCTTTACTCAAGAGAGGCAAAAACCATTATTTAAATTACAATTAGATGGTGTGTTGAAAGAATGAATGTACAAGAAGTGGGCCAAATGGCCTATTCTCTGGCAGCTAGTTCAGAAGTCTTAGATTTTAGAGGGCCAGGATTAACCATTTTATATTACTTGATGTTTATTGACAAGATGCAGAGCTAACTCAAGCGGTGTATATGTTGAAGATCTTTATGCAATTGTCTGGTTCAGGCATGTTACCTGTAATTGATGTGTCTATTACTTGTAATTATGGTCCATAAGTCTTGTAAATGTGTTAAACCTCACTAAAAGCATACCAAATCCAGAAGAGAGTAAAAGATGCATTATGTTCTAGGACCAATAATTTAAAATAATCGATGTAGGCTTTTCAGCACTTAATTTCCCTTGTGTTTTGATAGCTAATCATTCTTTATGCATTAAGATTTATTCTATAACTTAAAATGCAAAATATGTTTGCAGTGGATACACTTAACATTAGGAGATGTCTGCCAGGTTAAGTATTGTTGAACGCAGTTCACTTTTTCTGTTTGACAATATGTGTTAATTCTATTCAAGATCAAGTTAATGTGACAGCTGAAATGATGTAACTACCCATAAATGACACTACAACCTTTGAGTGAGAGTTGCAGCATTGCTAGCAGTTCCCAGGACCAGTCAGAACAGTATTGACTTTCACCCCTCTATAGAGCCAAAGCTGTCATTTTAGGTTTGCATCCACTTGATTATGAGAAGGGAGATATTGAGAGAAATAAAATTGAATGTTGCTGAATAATACACGATTGGGGTTAAATTTGCAACAAACAACAAAATTACATTTATAGAGCGCCTTTCATGTCGGGAGGATGTCCCGAGGCGCTGGACAGTCGGGTCAGGACCTGAGCATTGGGGGAGGGGTGGGGTAGGAGTGAGGGAAAGCAGAGAGGTGGGAGGGCGACTGAAGGCATGATTGAAGAGAAGGGTCTTGAGACCGGCCTTGAAGGAGTCAAGGGAGGAAGTGAGGTGAAGGGACTGTGGGATGGAGTTACAGAGTGTTGGGGCAGAGAGGCTGAAAGCTCGGCCATCAATGGTAGGGCGAGTCGGGCGGGAGACATGGAGCAGGCCAGAGCCCGCTGAACGGAGGGAACGGGCAGGTTGGTAGGGAGTCAGCAGGACAGAGAGCTAGGATGGGGCAAGGCCATGGATGGCCTTGAAAGTGAGGACAAGGATCTTGAATTCGATCCTCTGAGGAATGGGGAGCCAGTTGGGTTGGGCGAGGGTGGGAGTGATGGGGTCTTGGAGCCTGGTGCTCGAGATGATCTGCAGCTTGTGAAGGGAAGAGTTGGGAAGGCCGATGAGGAGGGAGTATTGAATTGCAAGTATTGGATTGCAAGATTGCGAGCAAATTAAGAATCCCAAACTGTCTAATTTATGAAAGGCCAACAAGCAAATGTCCAGCATTTTCGCTGCTGTTTGCTCGCCAGACTTTTTTCGGAATGCTGTTTTGAGAATCTTACCGATAATCCAATATTATCAAATACAGTAATGTGGTTTGTGAATATTTAATTTTTTACCCAATAATAATCCTTGCATTTGATATAGCGCCTTATCATGCCATTGAGATGTATCAAAGCTTTTGATACAACACTAGGTCTAATTTGTGATAAATGCAAACTGGAATCATTGTATTAATTGCAAAATCCAATTTGCAAAATTCAAGCCCGGTGAATCCCAAGTCTGGCCAGCCCATTGATGCATTTTGGCAGATGAATATTGGTCCCATGCTCTAGTTCATTCCTGGCATTGTCGTCTTTGTCAACTAGCAGTGTTTTGTTTTCATTTCCTCCCATTTCCTTCTCGAGCTCCTCCAGTCTGGTTTCTGCCCAGAACTGAGATAGCACTTGTCAAGGTTACAAAGGACAGCTTCTATCTCTGTGACCAGGGCTCCCTCTACTCTTTGTCCTCCTGGATCTCTCTGCTTTTGACACAGTTTAAATGCCATCCTCCTTGACCACCTCTCCTCCTTCATCACCTCAGTGGGACTGCCCTCTCCCAGTTGAAGTCCTTCTTATCCCACTGCAACCATTTCTACTCTAATGGTTTCTCTTCCCCCACCCACACCACCCCACCCACCCCCCTACAAAGTCACCTTTGGTCGCCTCTCCTTTTTTTCATTTCCCTCTTAGTGATATCATTCACAGACATGGGGGTCAACTTCCACGTGTAAGTTGATGATCCCTAAATCTATTTTCCTCTTCTAGTTGCAACCCCAGTCCTACTGATGTTCTGACTGCTTGCTTGTCTGATATCTTGGATGAGTGCCAACGTTTTGCAGCTAAAATGGAGAAAACAGAAGGCATCCTATTTGGCTCCAGTCAACTTCTTCTAACCTTTGATTCTGAACTGCTTGATCTTCCCATCCTATCTCTCAGACCAAATCAGTTAATAATAATAATCCTTGCATTTGATATAGCACTTTTCACGTCTTCTAGACATCTCAAAGCGCTTCACAGAATAGACTGTAAAGTGAATTGACTGTATATTTGTGAGCGAAATGTGGCAGCCAATTGCGCACAGCAATGTCCCACAAACAGTCGTGGATTGAAATGACCAATTTATTGTTTTTTTTGAGGGATTATTATCAGGCATGTGGAGTAAGGAAACTTGCCCAAGGTTTCACCCTGCCGGGAATCGAACCCGGGTCTCACTTGCAAAGCGAGTGCTCTAACCACTGAGCTACAGGACTTTTTTGGTGTCGGGTTTGATCCCCAGTTATCTTTTCTATCCCACATCCAGTCCCTGACCAAGACTACCTTCCTCCACCTCTGCCACATCGCTTGCCTTCGTCCCTGTCTTCAAATGCTGCTGAAACTCTCATTCATGATTTTGTCACTTCTTGCCTTGATTATTTTTTCCAATACACTCCTCACCATCTTCCCAACTCCACTATTAACAAGGTCCAAATGATTAGAAACTCTGCCGCCTGTGTCCTCACCTGTCCCAGGCTCCACACCTCATCACGCCCGTTCTTGCCAGGCTCTACTGGCTCCATGTTGCAAAATAGATCAATTTCAAGATACTTACTCTCAAATCTGTTCACACCTTGGTATTTCCTTACACAACAACAACAACTTGCATATATATAGCGACCCTCACACAGGGTAGCATCCCAGAGCGTTTATCTGCTCATACTTATCTCATGCCTACCTCTCCCATCTGTTCCTATCTACTCATCTACCTGTCACCTTTGCTCATTTGTCTTGGGTCTTCTGCACATCCTCATCCCTTTGACTCCAGAATTGGTGGCCGTGCTTTCAGCCCCTATGTCCTCCTTTCTGTTTGCATTCAAATCATACCTGAATCCTCTTTGAAGTTATCCCCTCCTCTCCCTTTCCAACTTGGCGTCAAGGCTCACAATTTTAAGTGCTCCAAGACGCTACCCTCTTACAGGGTGTGATGTAAATACAAGTTATTGTTTTCTCCTTATACAGTAAAATTCATTTGGGAGTTTTCTTATTTTTATGTTGTCATTGTCTGCTTTTTCTTGCCTTAAATCTATCTATGGTCCTTTCGATAATGCCAGCATTATATGGTCCCATATCTTGCTTTTGTTGGAAATTGTTGACTCTTCGGTTTGAGTGGGCTAAAAAGAAAACACGTACTGCTACAACAAATTGCATTGATATAGAGCCTTCCATGTCAGATACACTTTACAGCATATCTTATGAAGTGCTTTGGGACATCTTCCAAATGTGAAAGATGCTACACCAAATGCAACGATTATTATTTTTTTTATTATTTTTATTTTCAAAGTGTTTGGCAGCATCAACTTTAGCTGCACCTTCTTTTTGTTTTGTTTGTTGTTGCTGTTACAGAAAGTAGCCATAATGCCCTGTGCCTTCATTCCCACTGTGCATGATGTTATGTATACTGTGGGAACCTTAAAATCAATTTAAAAATAAT